AGTGTCTGACTCTTGGTTTTGGCTCAGGTTATGACCTCAGGGTTGTGGGATTAGGCCCCACACTGGGTTCCATGCTCAGCTCAGAGTTTGCTCCCCCTCTGCTCCCCCTCACACCCTGCTCTCTCACTCTCTCTCTTTCTCTCTCTCTCTCTCAAAAATAAATATATAAAATCTTAAAAAAAAAAAACAAACCCTGAAAATTCTAAGTGCTCAAAATACTGGTCAGACATTATTCAAATCTAGTCTGAATCAGCATTACTCGGTATTGAGCAAGGACCAGTATTAATGCCCTAAAGAGAATTAGAGAATAATACAGAATCCAAAAACAAAAGGGCATGTATAACCAGAACCAGACAGATGCACCACCATTTGCTTCTTCTAGATGAGAGGTCGAATGATAAATATGTGACAATATTATTTGCAGATATATCTGTGCCCCATTTAACTGGTTAGGAAACTAGATATAGTTCATTCAGTAGTCCATTAATTCTAGGAGTTCAATTCTCAAGTATTCATCTTTGTTGCCTTTATAAATTCAGAGGCTAATATAATTGGTTTTGGTATTTTTTAAAGAAGGTCCAGACTGGATGGATCCAAATGGCATTGGTAAAAAAGATTTTAGTACCAGAAAAAATATTTAATTTAACCCAAATAAAAAGAAACTGTTACCAAATTGCTACTAAATGTGACCTTTCCTATTTGATGACACAAGCTACAGGAATACCTTTTATGATCTGTTCTGCCTATGAGAACCAGCACCACTTTTGCTAAAGCTTAGGTGGAGAATCAATATAAAAAGATTATACTATTATAATAAGGATTATCATCTGCCACTATTTATTGAATGCATATTTTCCTAAGCATTTTGCAAACATCTCATTTAATGATCACAACAATCCTATGACTCCAGTGTTGTTAATGATCCCGACTTTACATCGAGAAAACCGAGTCCTGAAAAAACTGAATGCCCAGAGTCACATAGCTGGTTAAGTGGATAAAATGAGAATTTGGATTCCAGCACCCACATTCTTAAAGTGATTTCCAAAAATGCTTTGTGGTCTGAGTCATAACTATGTGAACATATGACAAAGTCACTGTTGAGTGTACCTTCTTGTTGGTAAAGGCCTGGTATTTTGGAACATTAATATTATTTTGAAAATGGTGCTTTGTTTGACCTTGCCTTCTGTTTCTGAGAAAGGAAGTACAGGATCTAACTGATAATTTTGGATCTTTACACTTCGGTAGTAAAGAGTCAAGACCAAAAATCAGGACACGTTAAAAACTGTTAACTTCCGGGGCGCCTGAGTGGCTCAGTGGGTTAAGGCCTCTGCCTTTGGCTCAGGTCATGATGTCAGGGTCCTGGGATTGAGTCCTGCATCCAGCTCTCTGCTCGGCAGGGAGCCTGCTTCCTCCTCTCTCTGCCAACCTCTCTGCCTACTTGTGATCTCCGTCTGTCAAATAAATAAATAAAATCTTTAAAAAAAAAACCCAAAAAACTGTTAACTTTCGGTGTCTTATCTAGGAGTATGGCCAATAAATGATAAGTGATATACTTTATTTTAAAGTCACTGCAGTGAAACCAATCAATGTTATACATGGGAAAAGTACCTGAATCTTCTGAGCCTTTTATTGATTTTTAACTGGGTATACATTTTTTATGAAAAGATTATAGAGTGTATTTTTAATGTCTGCATGTTAACCTTGTTTGTAATATTATTAGACTGTGAACAAGGACTAAAATAAAAAAAGCATTAAATATACATGAGTTTCAGATAGGGAGCAAATGCTAAGATTTATTCACTTTTCTGAGTGTACAAGAGATAACAAAATAAATACATTACTCGTCTAGTCTTTTAAAGAAAACAGAGGTTAAGAGATTTGTAACTACTTAGAAAAGAAAAATGAAGACTTGAAGTTTTGTTTTGTTTTGTTTTGTTTTTATAAAGTTGCTCTGTGCCAAAATTAAGAATTTTTCTCATATCCTTTAAATGATTAAAAGTCAAATCATATTTTTGGATTAAATTTCAAAATTCTCATGGTAGTTAAGAGATAAATTTTATAAAGAAAAATTTTTCATCCAAATTTTAGTTTAAGGAATCTCAGAACGCCAACACATGTGATATTTTTGGAAAGCCGATGCAGCCCAGATTGCCTTTCATTGAGAAATACAGCAGGGTACAGAAAGTCCTGGTTTCTATGTTACATGTCATGATGCTCCGCAGAAACCCAGGCTTACTAGCAAAATAATGGACACTTTTTCTTCTCTTCTTTCATATGCCCTTTTAGCTTTGAGCTTTTACATATTTAAACATAGCAGTATTTTGGCTAAAGAGTTGCCTCTTTTGCCTTCCTAGTTGTTTAGAAATTATTTTCTATATTTTATTTGCATTTTAGTCATAATCCTGGTAGTGGTGCTCTTTGACTTAAAAGTTCTTTTACCTATGGGGCGCTTGGGTGGCTCAGTTGTTTGGTGGTCAGCTCTTGGTTCCAGCTCAGGTCATGATCTCATGGGTCATGAGATCAAGCCCACCATCAGGCTCTGCACTCAGCAGGGAGTCTCCTCTCAGATTCTTTCCCTCTGCACCTCCTCCAATTTGGGTTTTTATTCTATGTCTCTGTCTCTGTCTCTCTCTCTCTAATAAATAAATCTTCAAAAATATAAAAACTAGGGGCGCCTGGTTGGCTCAGTGGGTTAAGCCTCTGCCTTTGGCTCAGGTCATGATCTCAGGGTCCTGGGATCGAGCCCCGCATTGGGCTCTCTGCTCATTGGGGAGCCTGCCTCCACCTTTGTCTCTGCCTGCCTCTCTATCTGCTTTGATCTCTCTCCTTGTCAAATAGATAAATAAAATCTTTTGAAAAAGTGTGCTTATAATTTAAAAAATATATATAAAAACTAAAATTAGGGCACCTGGGTGGCTCAGTGGGTTAAACCTCTGCCTTCAGCTCAGGTCATGATCTCAGGGTCCTGGATCGAGGCCCACATCGGGCTCCCTGCTCAGTGGGGAGCCTGCTTCCACCTCTCTGCCTACTTGTGACCTCTCTCCCTCTCTCTCTCAAATAAATAAATAAAATCTTTTAAATAAATAAATAAAAACTAAAATTATTTTAACCATTATGTTAATTTAAGGATGAATCAAGTTCTTTTTACATTAACAAAGGTAGATTAAAAAAAGATCTGAGCTTCAAGATAAATGAAACTGCACTATACACTCTGAAGGAGGATCCCGCTATCTCAGGACCATGTCTTGCTGTGGAAAACACTAGCACATGGGAGACAGACAGATCTGTGTGACCCTGAGAACATTACTTAACCACTTGCGGGTTCTGTTTCTGCATTTGTAAATTTCAGCAAATGCCTACTTCATAACATTTGTCTCTGCTGTATGAAGCATCATATGTAAAACCCCTAGCAGAAAGCCTGATACACAGTGTCTAGTTAACATTAGTCATTTTATTTCTCTAATCTCTATTTACTCTACATTCTTGAATAATAATAAAGACCAACATCAGACAACAAGACTTACTTCATACCTAGCAAATTCAGATAATTGAGGAGACTTGATCTCATATGCTGTATGGAGTTCAATTTTAATTTTTCTGATTCTTGGTGAATTCTGTATAGTAATTATAATTAGTAAATGTACACCCTAAAAATTTCTTTCCATAATTTCACAATTTAATTTACCTTGCAACCCAGTGATAGAAGAGTGAGTGTGTTATTATCTTGTTTTAGAGATTAAAAAAGTGTTCATTTCTGAATTGAAATGACCTGATAAAAGTGGAAATGGAATTTAAATTTCAGTCACTAGGCTCTCAGTTTTGTGTGGTTTCATGACGCTGTGTTACCTTTTTACAAAAATAAATGTTCTTCCATTTTATAGCAACATGTTATTGGAGAATTGGCCACTATAAGAAAAATATGTTAGGCATTAAAAACTTGTTGAGGTAGCTCAAGAAGTTAGGTTGGTCTATGAAGCAGATAAAAACTGAGTATCATTTACTTTTTGTTAACTTTAAATCAGCCAGTACTATTCACTTCCCAGTCAGCTCTGTCAAACATACACATACACACACACACACACACACACACACACACACACACACACACACCAACATTTAGCACACTGTGGTGAACACTGAAGGCTACTAGACACTTTATTCATGGCATAAAAATCTTCGTCAAAAATAGCACAAAAATCTCAACATCCACAGAACCAAATAATATCCAAAATGTATGCTATTATCTAGAGTCCTTATTGAATGAATATGATAAATGAATAATCCAAACACTTCATTTAGGCTAACAGTTTCAAACTCTTCTCATTCTAATCCATATTTTAAAACTAATTAGAGAGAAAGGGGGGAAATAATTTTTATTTTATTCTGTCATCTCTTTTTTTTGAGAGAGAGAGAAAGAGAGAGCATGTGCATGTGAGGGTGGGGAGGGGCAAAGGGAGAGGGAGAGGGAGAGGATCTTAAGCAGCCTCCATGCTGGGGGTGGAGACTGATGTGGGGCTTGATCTCACAACCCCAGAGATCACGCCCTAAGCTGAAATCAAGTCAGATGCTTAACCGACGGAGCCACCCAAGCGCCCCTTTTCTCTTATTTCTTTATCCCACATTTTAACACTCAGTTGTCCATGAGTAAAACGCATACGGCAGAGAAGAAAAAAAACCAGAGTCTGGATTACCAGTTGATGATAAATGAGAAATAAAACATTAGTCTCGGTCAATATTCCAGCCGAGAGCAGCCCAGATCATTTCACAGACAAAACTGACATTCGGTTGTTATTTTTGATCTATCTCCTTTGCTGCAGTCTTAGGTCTAGATACAGCCGTCTGAGGCTTCAGAAGTTGGTGAGGGGATGAAAATGGACTTTTGTAAGTCTGAATCACTGATATTTTAGTAAATGCAATAGACAAAAAAATAACCTGGGGCTCCTGGCATACTTCTATAGACCATGAGTGTTTCTTCATTGTGCACAGAGCCATGTCCTTACCTGATTGCAGGTGTTGATGTCTATGCCCCCCTTGAGATATTCCACTACTTTGTCCAGGTTGCCTGCTCTGGCAGCACGGAGGAAGCTTGCATTGCTGTCAGACTACGAGAAAGAAAAAAAAAAAAGACCTCCAGTGAATTATTGTTAAATAAGGACATACAAAAGACAGAAAGTCAAAAATGTTTACAATGCAAGTAAGAAAAACTTTGGTTGCAAACACTCCAATCTTGAGTTTAAAACACTGAATAATAATTCCCAGGATAGGGTGGCAACTTTGTAGTATTTCTAGAGAGTTGTTTAAAGTAAACGGGAAATACGTTCTGCTATATTAAAGATGTAAAAGAACTCTTGAAATAAAAATCATTACTGCTTTATTTTAAATCTTCAGCCACATTTGAAGATGAATTTACACGACTCCCAAACCCAAAGCTACCCATTCATTTTAGCTTCAGGATGCTTGTGACCTTATAGTGAGCCTAATGTCAAGCCAAAAAGGAGTTGGAAAAGTAAAAGAAATTAAAGGGACTGGCCTTCTTTTTTTTTTCTTTTTCCTTTACCGTTTTGGTTTCTCAGATGAGTCTGAGGGAGAATGCTGAGTATGGGTCATTTGGCAGTCATCTGTCCTCATTACAAGGGAAAAACAGAAAGCTCCAAGGATGCTTTGAGGAAAGAGGATAGCACTAGTTGGCAGGTGTGGACTAGGCCAATGCAAATTTTGTGATCCCAGTGATTTTGGAAAAACAAGATTAAATTTAACCCAGCTGACATAATACCAGACGAAAACCCTTGGTAAAGATAAGCACTCATAATGGGAGTCTGCTTTTTAACTCCTCTTCTTCCCCCAGGGCCTCTCAAAATCTGATCCTGGAAGAAACAGCTGAATTTTCGCCACAGAATGTCCAGAGGAGAGTTGCTCCAGACATGAAGCTACAGTCACCCAGCGGCTCTCGCTCGCTTGCAGAGCCTGACTTTCGAATCTTAACCCAATAACTTTGATAAACTTTGTTAGGTTCTAAAACACTGGTGTAACTTTATAACTCTTCCGGTGGTATGGTATCTGACTAAAGAAGATGTGGTAACATGAAAAGGGATGTCACTGACCTACTAGGACCTGAGACACAGTTGTGACAGCTCATAATCCCGCACTCTCCCGGTAGGCTCCCCTGCCTCTCTCCCTCGAAGAATGTGTTTGGCAGGGGCTCCTGGCACACTCTTTCAGACCTATTCATCATGACTGGTGATGATGTACAGAGATAGAAATGGAAGTATTTTCTCTGGGAGTCTCAAATTGGGAATTATTTGCATATTGTTAAAATGATTTACACATGGGAAGATGGAAAGCGGTAGGACCAAATTACCTCACATTTAACCCAAATACCATAATGACATGTATTTACAAATCAGACAGATAATGTATGAAGAGTGGAAGGTATGACTGAAATCTATACATCTGGAATTCATGCTCTGATGTTTCAGAAGTGGATCATGGTCTGGCTGCTATCTGACCGTTCTTCCCTCCCTACAAGGCCGCCATGCCTCACTCTTTGTCCCTCCTGAGAGCCCTGCCCATGGCAGGGTGCCCTAAATATATCTGCAATGCTGAAGTGACTGAGTTGTGACTCATTTTAAAATGCCTGCTCTAGGAAATTATTTTGTGGTTTGTGGCAAATTCTAAACTCCAGGAAGATTTTCTACCTCAGGTTTCTTGCCACAGCACTTACAAGGGAAAGATAATGCTAGGCATTATGTTCTGTCAATATCTCACAGGAAACATCATTTACTGTAAAACAACTAAAATTAAATAATATTTGGGCATAGAAAGTATGACATTATTTGCCATATATAGTTTTAAAAAATAGATCTATGTACTATATGTTATATATAATATTAAAAAATTATGCCTAGCACTACTGCCATGTTGTACACGGGGCTTAATAATTATAGCTGACATTTATCATTCACTGGGGGGTCAGGCACAGAGCTAAGGGAGTCAGCGAAATGTAGTATATCCTTAATATTCATGATAATATTATGAGAGATAACCTATTATTATGCTCATTTAATAAGTGAGGGAAAGGCTTAGAAGGTTTCCAAGGTCACCCAATTATTCAGTGGAAGAGCCAAGATTTAACTTATGTTTATCAGCCTAGAGCTAGTCTTAACAGCTACTCTATCTCACCCCTCCAAAGCATCAAGGCAGAAGTTACTACAGATACCTAACCTAGGAGCTACATGTTTGTTTCAGTTGTGAGAACCACTGTTATGCTCTTGGTCTACATATCTGCTCTGTAAATCATGGCACTTGCTAAAAAGAGTTCCCCAGCTGAAGAGAGAATTCCTGGCTGACATCCCTGTCCCCACATCTCTCAGCCATCTATACACCTAGGAAAAGTAAGAGTTAGGAGCGCCTGGGTGGCTCAGTGGGTTAAGCCTCTGCCTTTGGGTCAGGTCATAATCTCAGGGTCCTGGGATTGAGCATTAGGCTCTCTGCTCAGCAGGGGAGCCTACTCCCCCCCCCCCCCCCCCCCCCCCCCGCCGCCTGCCTCTTTGCCTACTTGTGATTTCTCTCTCTCTCTGTCAAATAAATAAATACAATCTTAAAAAAAAAAAGTAAGAACTGGCTTGAGAAAAACTACTTAAAACCATAAGCATTTGGGAATGAGGAAAGAGGTGGTAAAGTACACATTGCATCAAAAAAGCCAGGGGGTGCCTGAGTAGCTCAGTGGGTTAAAGACTGCCTTCGGCTCAGGTCATGATCCCAGAGTCCTGGGATGGAGCCCCGCTTCGGGCTCTCTGCTCAGCGGGGAGCCTGTTTCCTCCTCTCTCTTCACCTGCTTCTCTGCCTGCTTGTGATCTCCATCTGTCAAATGAATAAATAAAATCTTAAAAAAAAAAAAAGCTGACTATCTCTATCTACACGCCTAATATGATTAAACTCAGGAACTAAGATCAGGGTGTCCCTATCATTCCTTTGAAAAAAAGAATATCATGCATAAGTAGAGCTAAGAGGGAGCACTTGATCCCGAAGGGTTGAAGAAAGCCCTACAGACATGACTGTGGACACTTAAAGGAAGGTGTTGGTCTGAAGGGAGCTGGAGCAGTGGGCAGTGCCCAATAGACCCGCCTAGAACCTTCCTTAGGGAATGGGCATTACATGGAAGATTGCTTTTGCCATTACATAACTGGTTTTCATAACTGCTTTTCACTTTTCTGAAGCAAACTTCTCAAATGTAGGTACAAGTAAAAGACTTGCATCCAATCCCTGGAATTTTAGCAAAATAAATTCCCAGTGTTCTGGAGGGTCTAGACCCAATGGAAATGTGACATCTGAGCCATCCAGCCAGGGATGTCTTCAACAGTGAGTCATTGTGGCCTTTGCTATGAGTTGGATTCTTTCAGAATCCGTTAAAAAATTTGGTTTTCTGGAAGTGAGAAAATGCATTATAAATGCATTTTGCAAATGCAAATAAATGAAAGTGTTATTAGAAAACAGTTCCAGAACATGGGTTTCAAGAACAAAATTAAAAGGAAATTACAAATTTTATATACAGATATTGACATCATTTTAGATGAAAACTATAGACCTGCATGAAAAAATATATATTATATATAATATATATATTATATATATATATAAAGAATATATATTCTTTTCCCACTTCCACATAGACACAAGCATACCATCCCTTACAATGAGGTCAATCTGTGATTAAAGCACTTGACACAAGAGCTTAAGATAAACAGTAGTCAGTCTGGTACCTTCAGTCAACACTGAGATGAAAGAGGATTCAGGGACTCCCGGTGAAAGATACAGCAACTTTTACTATACCATGTTTCCCTCTGAGTATGGCAAAAGGAATTATTTCCAAATTAAGCGTAAGTAGGGGGAAGTATGCTTTCAAGATAGATTGTTGTCTCTTGGATCAACCAGGAGATTTCACACATAACAGCTCAATAAAGAGAAAATGAGGCAATAGCAGCTCCTTGGGGGAAAGTCTCCAACAAATGTAAAACTAACCTCTTTCGGCTCTGCTGCTTTATGTCCCTAGGACTCCCAAATCCTAAAACCAATTTTATTTATTTATTTATTTATTTTTTAAAGATTTTATTTATTTATTTGACAGAGAGAGATCACAAGTAGACAGAGAGGCAGGCAGAGAGAGAGAGAGAGAGAGAGGGAAGCAGGCTCCCCGCTGAGCAGAGAGCCCGACACGGGACTCGATCCCAGGACCCTGAGATCATGACCCGAGCCGAAGGCAGCGGCTCAACCCACTGAGCACCCAGGTGCCCCCTAAAACCAATTTTTAATTATGCTTATAAAGTCTGATTCTGGACAAAGAATTCAAGTGCTGAGCCCCACTATTTTAATCTACAACAGATGGATGTCATTAAAACTTGCCCCTTTTACTACCCTGGTGTGGCATCTCAAGCCAAGAAAGAAAAATTTCCTTTAAAATTCCTCTTGACACAGTTCTGTACATTTTTTGTATCAGAATTTTAGAAAAACAGGATACTTTCTTAGCACCCAGCAGGGTGGACATGAGAGGCAAGAGGAATGTGCCTTCACAGAGACACATTGTATCTTAAAGAAGTACTTCCCCAAAGTCCAGAGGCATACTCACAGGTTTCCAGGAGTTTGCCACAAGGTTTTTTTGTTGTTTTTTTTTTTTTTAAATTCTGTGCTTACATTTCAATAATAACTTAATATAAATATAAGCATGTTCCAGGTCATCTAGACGGTTACCCTTTAAAGAATACAACCATGTAATTTGGGTATAAACTTTTGTGCTTATCATTCGGCGCATAACAAGAGAAGTAGAGATGACACATAGATGCAGGATATGCAAAACGGTTTGCTGTGGGGCAGAGTATGATCAGAGAATCTGATCATTACACACGGCAGGACAGCATACATGATAAAACAAAAGAACAGCAGTCAGCAGCCACATTAAAGTAGCAAATAAACATAAGGCTCAGATGCTGTCTTTGCACGGTTCAACTCACATCAACCATTAGCAGCGAGTGTAATAGAACATCCATGGTGAGACATTTCTCAGTTCCCAATTCTCACTTTCCCTGGATTACGGATGTACAAGCCTGCA